GCTGCTGACCCCCCGGGGCCCGTCGGCTACGCCCTCGCCGAAATAGTCCCGCCATTTGGTGTCCTGGCGGGACGCGAGGGCGACGTGATGGATTGTTCTGCGGACGAGCGCGTAGAGCTGGCGCCGGTGGGCCGACGAGAAGCGGACCGGTTGTGTCTCCCCCAGCCTGCAGCAGTGGTGAGGGGCGGAGTACATCGGGGCCCGCCGCGTCACGGGCCCCACCATGAGCTCCACCGGGCTGGGGCTGTCAGGCTCTTCACTCACTCATTCTCTGCATTGAAGCAATTGCTCCTGGAGGAGAAGGTCCATCGCCTTTCAGATGTATGCAGCAGAAGCTGTCCCCTACTTACTGTATAGCCCATAAGACACAAGCAGTGGCAGTGGAGGAACACAGAAGGGGTGAAATCCTGTTGCTGACAATAATACGCCCAGCTCAGGGCAATGGAGGAATGTGATGAGCTGATCATGCTGTGTTTGTTCCAGGGGAGAAGTGTCCAGTGGTGTGGCTTGCCTACCAGGACAGGTCCTACCTCTTTTTTCTTGAAAAAGGAACTTGGGAGCAGTGTAAATCTTCCTGCGTTTCTCAATCTGCCACGCTGCTCACAATAGAGAGCAAAGAAGAGCTGGTGAGTGCATGTTACTTTTGATATAGCAATAAAATATGACCAAATGAATGCAGTCAAGAAAGAGTCAAGTTCTAAGGCTGCACTTTCTTGCACAACTTCAACTGGGATGAAGGGGGAAGGGGTACGGGGGCATGGAGGGGGAGGTATGACATGGATAGGATTCAGTGGGAGATTTATCTATATGCATACATGCTTTCTATTGTACCTCCAGACTACAGTGCACATGGGCCTAGCCACGTGTCAAATCCTACAGCATTACCTGCAGTATGTTGATGAACTCACCTAACCAGACTGGCACTTGCTGTTATGCAGGTGTAGGCTACCCAGTTTTCTACAGGAGGGATCTCTGCACTGAGGCTTCTGGTTATACTATAGTGCTGTGCTGGTGCTCTCCACTTGGTTGAGAGAACTCTCATTTCACCTGATCTTATTGTGGTGTAGGATTTCATAACGGCAAGGTCTTTTAAATATGCTGAAGATCATGGAAGAAATGCATATTACGACCTGTTCTGGACTGGATTGTCGTTTGACTCCAGAAAGGGGATGTGGGTCTGGGAGGATGATTCAACTCTCTCCTCTGGCCTGTAAGTCTGTGTCACTAGGGCAGTGGTTTCCAAACTTTTGATACCGGGAACATGTTTTCTTCTAGATTAAAATTGGCAACACACTTCACTCTTACATGTAAGAAGGTGTGTGTGTGTGTGTGTGTGTGTGTATAAGAGCAATTTCAAAACATATAGCAGATGCCATTCTCCTGCCAGAGGGAATCACACCAGTGCTGAGAGGTACAGTTAAAAAAACGATCTGTTCCCCAATTATCTGTTGTCTGTACCCTGCTGACCCCTGGTCTGTACCTCAGGGTGTAAATTTAGCCTCTGCTGTTGAGAGGGAGTAAGGTCAGTCTCTGGTGTTGAGGCTGCTCCAGCAGGGTCTTCCACACTAGCAACCACCCGCATAGCACATGGCACCTCCTGCCAGCCCCAGCAGTATTTGAGGAGTGGAGGTGATGATGGCTTTAGATCGTAGATGTGGGAGTTGGGTTAGTGAGAATAGGGGAACGTTCTATTGTTTACCGCATCACAGGTACATGACACATTTAAGAGCCATATGGTACATGAATGTATCCCCTGGATACAGGGACTCTGTGAAATTTCTCTGACTGTTTCAATTTGACACTCTTCTGACTCATTCTGAGCTCAAAACAGCAAAGTTGAATCGGAACGAAAGGGTTCGAAGCAGCCTTGGAACAAAACGAGGCCAGTGGAAACATTTTGAACATTTTTAAATGTTTCGAGTTTCGAAGCGACAAGCATCCAGGTGCTGGAAGACAGGAGAGAACCAGGGTTGCGTTCCCAGTGGCTCTGCAGCCCCACGTGGCTCAGCTGGGAATACAGCCCTGGCTCTCCCCACCTCTCATGGCCAGGCTGTGGGAAGCTGATCACAGCGCAAAGGAAGTTCCCTTACCAACCTTCCTGGTCCTGGGCTGCAGTACCTGGCTTCCCTCCCTTATCTGGCAGGCAATTCAGGGCCTGCAGCCCCGGGAGGACTGGCATAGCCCCTGTACCCCTCACAGGGTTGCGGGTCCACATCTGCCTGCCAGATGAGAGAGGCTGTTTCGAGCTTCCCCATTATAGCGAATGGGTGACACATTGAAACAGCGTCAAAACAATATCACTGTTTCAAAAAAGTGAAATGGAACATCTATTTCAAAGCTAAATGAAATTTGAAACAAAATGCTCTTCTGTTGAATCCTTGATACTCACATCAAAATGGAATGGTGCCATTTTGAACAACCCTAATGGATACCATCTGGTTTTGAGTGATCTGTGAATTGCATGGGAAACTGGGGCCTCTTCTCTCACCCACCTTGGGGATGGAGCATGCAGATCTGTGTCAGCATGCAGGCACAGGATGGGGAGGAAACAAAATGTCTTGCAAATCTGATTCCAGGACTAATTTCTGGAGGACTGAATTGTCCTCATGTAAAGTATGTTGAGGAGTCAAAGTTGACCACACCATGCGTTGTAAATATGCCATGAGATAACAGCGGTTCTGTGCTTCCTGTTTCTCATGCAACCAGTTACAGGCTTGACCTGAAAAGCATCTCTGACCTTCCTTTTGCTGGGTCATGGCTTGACCATACCCTGTGGTCAGTGCTATAAGCAAGGAGAACTTGCAGCTCTGTGTCCTAACACAGGGGTCAGAAGAATAAACTGGATTGTGCCCCATGACTTTGCCTTCCAGGTTTGTGCTCTCAGACCCCAGTGTTCAGAATTATCAGGATGGAGCTTGTACATTTTTGCAAGGTGAAAAAGTGAAACCTGGAGGCTGTGGAGGTACTTGGTTCTGCATTGTGAGAGGAAGAAGAAAGCATGAGGAAAAAAATAAACTTGATTGACCCAGCAAACAGACAGTGTGGCAGGGGCTGGTCAAGGGGATCACTGCACCTGAAGGAGGGATATGGAGCTCAGGAACAGAAATGGGTCTACCAGCATAAATCTCTGAATCTTGTGTTGCTGTTTGCAGGGTGGGGGGTGGGGGCAGCAATGTCCTAAAGTGCATTTTGGGGCAGTGTGACTGCTAACCTCAGACTGTCTGTGAAGCCACACAGACAAGGCAAATCTCACCCCCTTCTGCCACCTCTTTCAGTTCATGCTTATGCCAGTTGATAGAAATCTCTCTCCCCAACAGCCAAGCTACATATGCTGGAGCCAGCAAAGAGGTGACTCTTCTGCCTTCAATACAACCTTACTTCTTCTTCTCTTGTCCCAGTGGTGGGCTTTCATGGTAGCTTGGCAACCCCTCTGGCAAACAAGATGCCCCAGGAAGTATTGGTGTGCATAGCCACAGGGGGCATCATAGGCCTATGGAAATCAGATGGAGAAACATCCATTATCTCATGGTGACTGCTCTTGCCCAGGCACAGATGCTCCCTGTTGTGTACAAGGGAGGCTCTAGTCCTGTTCAGCAGCAGGAGCCCTAAAGGCTGGGGTTTCCAACACCACCCTGGGGAGGCTCCATGTCCTCTATCTGCTACAGAAATGTCACCGTGGTTCTGAAACTAAACCATCTCCCACCACTCATGTGTACCTCTGCTTGGATAATGGGTGGGATGTGTCAGGGACATGCCTTTCTGGTTTCTTTGGGCCAGTAGGAGATCCATACCCTAAAGAGGCCTGTTGGGTGTCCCCAGATTGGGAGTGTCATTGGCAAGAGGATGGGTGGCTCAGTGTCAGATGTCCTTCTGCATGTTTCAGCCATGGCCCCAGGCCTGGAATTCTTGAGGCAGCTCTCAGAGGCCATACAGTCTAGGGATGTGGTTGTCATGGGGAACCTAAACTACCCTGACATCTGCTGGGAGGAGCAGTCAGCCAAATCCAGCCATTCACATAGGTTCTTAACCTGCATGCAGGACCTTCACCCAATGCAGTCGGTATACGGTTCCACTAGGGGGAATACCTTACTGGACTTGGTGTTCACTTTGGGGGACGGCCTGGTAGGAGAGCTGCAGATTCGTGGTCACCTTGGGGACAGTGACCACCAATCAATAGAATTCACCATATGGCATAGGGTGGGCAAAATAACTAGTAGGGTGGAAGTGCTTGAATTTAGAAAGGCTAACTTCAGTGTGCTCAGAAGTCTAGTCAATGTTACACTGCAGGATAGTAGTATTGGTGGGATGGGAGTCCAGAAAGGGTGGTCATTCCTAAAAGAAGCAATCCTTCAGGCGCAGAGGGAGACTATCCCAGTATGAGGGAAAAAGGGGAACGGAGCCACAAAACTTCCTTGGCAAAACAGGGAAATCCAGGGGAGTCTAAGGGCAAAAAAGAAGGAATATAAGTTGTGGAAGCAGGGGGCAGCTACCAAGGAGGAATATACCTACTCAGTCCGCACTTGCAGGGAGACAGTTAGAAAAGCCAAAACAACTACAGAGCTGAGGCTGGCAACACAAATTAAAGACAAGAAAAAATCTTTTTTTAGGTATGTAGGGAGTAAAAGGACGATGCAGAGCAGCATAGGACCCCTACTGAACAAGGAGGAGCAATTAGTGACAGACAGGGAAGACAAGGATGAGCTATTCAATGAGATTTTTGCCTCAGTGTCTTTGAACAGGGCTCAAGATAAGTGTCCAAATGGGTTCTTAGATGGGCATCAGAGGAACACCAGCCTACCAACTGTTGATGCTGACTTGATGCAGAGTCACTTGGATGGCCTGGGTGTGTTTAAGTCAGCAGGCCCGGATGAGCTTCATTTGCGAGTACTGAAGGAACTAGCCAGTGTCATAGCAGAACTGTTGTAACATGGGCTCAAGCCGAAGCCCTGGTACTAGATAGACCCGGGTCCCGGACAGTCGGAGGAACCAGGACTGCAGCGGAGTATGTTTAGCACACCAGGGATAGATTAGGGTAATTAGGATGCCACTGCACTCAAAAGGCAGGATGGGAGGATGGGAACTGCTCTCAGGGCACCGGAGGAGAAGAAGGAGTCACAGGGAGTGGCAGTGCAGAGATACAAGAACCCCAGCGATCAGGCACCAGATCAGAGGAGACAGGGCGACAGGGTCATCTGACCCCAGCCCTCTTTCCTGCCATGGTAGGTGATCGGACTTGATGATCTGTTGAGGTCCCTTCTGACCTATGAATCTATGAATCCTGTCCTCCTCATCTGGGGCTAGGAAATCAATTTTGAATCATGTAAGTCTATGGATACTCATAGAAATTTACCTATGGGCAAATTGCTATCAGAGTCTTTATTTCAATGTCAATGTTTTCTAGTTGTTCCTCATTTCCATTGGCAGAGGGCAAAGGGCTATCTGACTCCCCAGATTTATTTCCCCTTGCTGTAGCAGTGGGAGGGGGACAGAGTCAATGCAAGCCTCCAATAATTAGATTCTATAGCTGGGAAATTATATAAAATTTATAAAATTTCCACATATAATATCTAATTATTGGTGGGGAAGAGGTCATCCTATATTCAAGTAAATGCAGTCTTTCAGTCTGCTCTGACCAGTCAGTGAAGTTCACCTCCTCATCCAGTGCCTACAAAAACAAAAAAATCCACAGTATCCAGTCAAGCTAAAGCTGAGAGAATAGTTTTGGCTGCAGGAAGCTAATCCTAGGGAATGACAGAGAAGGTTTTGGCTCCCAAGACTGGAGCATGGTTTTGTCCAGTGAAAAGCTATTTAGAGTCCAACCTTTAATGTGGGTTTAGTGAGAGAGCAAAGCAATTTGAGACATGGAGCAAGTCATTTTTCTACTATTCTGTTGGGTTGCTTTGGTTTTCAAGGCACACAAAAAGCAGGCAACAGGCATAGCAGGCAAATGTCACCCAGCACTTGACATTTCCATGAGTCTAAAATCTATTTCATCCAGAAACAGAACTCTTTCAGGACAGCAATTATACTAGGGCAAAAACTGGTTAGCTCAATTCTCTGGGAAATCAGAAAAGTCAAGAAAAAAATTGTGATTGACCCAAAATAATATTTTGTGTTTTGCTTAAAAAAAAAAATCTGGAGAATGCAAATTGGAATAAATATCCCATCAGGTGAAACCAAATAATTCAGAGAACAGGCAGAGCTCTGAGGTAGCAGAGGGTAATCAGAAAGGCTTAACTTAAATCAAAGCTAAATGCACAGTACTGTCCCATAGCCCCTCTCTGTCACACACCGTACCTCTGCATTTGGCAAAGGGGTCTGTCTCTGGTGCTCTGAAGGAGTTCCCATGTGGAGGTCTGACAAAGTATCCTTGTGCTCTTGCATTCACAGTGGGTTCCAGCAGAGATGATTTAGACATGAGTGAAATGGATTCAGGGTTAGGATGTGAGGACGCACTGGTAGGTCCAAGAGGGACTCAGACACAGAGTGCAGCCATGTGGGCTACAGCTGAGAAAGAAATGGTTACTTGTCCTGAGACAACGATCATGGTTGCCATTGTGAGTCTGAGCAAAAGGGAATGAAGATCCCAAATAATTTGGTAAAATCAGTTGGGGAAGAGAGAAAAGGAGTGAGGGAGAGAGAGAGAGAGAGAGCAATTCCCTCCTGAAATGGCAACATCCTTGGCATTCTCACTAGACATAGGAAACTCAAGATGTCTCAGCATACTCCTAACTGGCTGTCCTGAGCACCCAGCATTGAAGCCCTCAGATATCATTGGCCTGGGTATGGCAGGTAACTAGATCACTACTGAGTGATGCATTCAGCTGCCATAGCCAGGGGAATGGTCTGTGAGATGAGACAACAAAAAGAAAAGACCAAACTCAATGATTTTACCCCTGACATTCCCCACTCTCATAACACACCAATACAAGCAGTCACATGCCTGTGTCTGTCCTGTGCCCTGTGATATGCCTTGTGAGGCTGCAGCTCCCTCAGCGAGTGACAGCGAATTCTGCTCTCAGGTAGCGGTGCGTCCTCCTGCTGCCCCAGCACAAAAATGCAATCATCCCAGAGTGTGAGAAACACATGCTCAGTGGTGAACTCTGCTTTTCTGTAAAAAACACAGCACTGTATACCAGGCCCCTTGGACAGGATTCTCAATGGAGTCCAGTTGATTTCCCAGTGTCCATCAGTTTTCACAGGAGTCAGTGGATTTTGGGAGAGTATGTGTCTTGGGGCCTCTGAGAACCCAGGCCTTGATGCATTGGGGAAAAGCCTGGGTAGGAAGACAAGTTCCATGGGACATTCCTCTCTCAGTGCTTGTGAAGGGCTGTGTTGTTGGTGGGGTCTGAATATCTTTGGGGGCTGAACTCAGGTTTGAGCCATTTGGCCCCAGACTTTGATTCAGTGGTCACAGGGAGTCTCCTCCAGTTCAGTGCTGCTGTGCAGGGATGGCTGTTCAGACTAGGAGGGGTGGTCAGAAACGGAGAAATGGCTGCACACGAGCATGAGAGACATGGGTGCTCCCCTGGGAACATGGCTTTTCTATGAAAGAATATAGCCCACATTCCTGATGCCATTACACAGGATGTTCAGTGAAGCCCAATGAGCTTTAAACTCACAGCTCATTACCTCCTGACATGACGGGTCACCAGCAGAACAGGCATCATTACAACACGTGTCACTCATCACATGTTCTGGGGGATGGTTGTCTTCACCCCTTGGGACTGCAGCCCCTGCACCTGAGGCACATGCCTGCTAAGTGTGGGGATGTCGGGACATGCCCAGATTGCATCTGTGAAGGACTGAGGGGATGGGGAACCTTGAAACACCCATGTTGGAGCCTGTTGCTCAAGACCTTTGACTTGATGTTCTCAGGGACATTCCCCAAACTAGAGCTGCTCTGGTACTTGCAGGGATAGGCAGAGACTGGGAAATGGTTGCCCCTCCCTTCATCATGTTGTCTTTTTTCCCAACTTTTATTGCTCAGCTCCCCAGAGCAGCAGCAGCATCACCAGCACCAT